TACTTTTTAATTCAGCCTCCCTCATGCTTTACCAATCTTTGCAAAATTGGAAGCGTCAGTTATTGTCTCGGTGACTGCTGGCATACCCGCTAGAAATGTATAAACAACGTGGCTTTTCAGAGCCTATGAAATCAAGAGTGGTTTTGCTCTCGAGCGCCAAAGTGAGACTGAGAAGATATAGTTACAAATAGGATCTCTCAGATAATAAAAATTACTTTGCCTCTGATTTCATCAGATCCAGCGTGTTCCTTTTTATCTGCACACTGCCACAATGATGGCTTCAATAACATTACGAGGTGTCAGACACTTGATGTTAGAGGCAGACAGGAGAAAAGAAGGGTGAATCTGTACATCAAGTATCAGGGTTACTTTATTTGGAGAGGAATTATTTTATGCCCTTGAAGAGATAACTATAATACTGGCAGCACTGAAATCTGCAGGCATAGGCTTGAATCACCCCTGCTATTACACCAGTGCAGCTTAACTGATTTTGATAGGGATTTCAAAGACATTTGCTGTATTGAATTAATGAAATTCACATCCATGAATTAGAATCGTACCTCTCTAACGTGGATTGGCTGAACAATGCAGCTGTGTGCAAAATTACCTCTGCTGCTCTTTAAAATCTAATGAGTTGACACCTCTTTCTTTTCTCAGATTTTATTTTTCTATCAGCCTTGTTAAATACATGTTATTCTTTCATGCCCTTAAGATCAAAGCAAATAGCCATCAACAATCTTTTGTTCACATGAGACAACGCTTTCAGAAATGGTTTGTTTGGCCTGGTTAATTAAAAGCTGTATCTATCGTCCCTGCCTGATTTCTCAAGTTCTTTACCTAAAAGGTATGTGTGACAATTTTAATGAGACAGCCTCGTGTCTTCTGCAGAAGCATTGCAGTCTCTTCTTTTTGAACATGACAGAGTTTTGACTCTTGAGTCTCCTGTTTGTTTTCCCTTCTCACTTCTGCACTTATCTTGCATGTTAATGGAGTCACTCAAGGAGTACAAGGACACGAATCAATCCCATGAAATTAGTAGATTAAAAACAAACAAAAAGACATCACTGTGCTTAATAAAATGGGGAGAAACTTCTCCCAAACTGGTGCGTGATTGAAGGTTGAAAGAGATGTAAGGAGCTGTGGATCCCCTCTTGAAGGTGGTTTTCATCCTGCTCAGAAAGCCACTGCTGCTGGAACCAAAGCTGCACTGCAGCCCACCTGGTGCTGGGACAGCACTGTGAGGCCGTGCCCTCACCTCTGCCATGGGAATGGCTGCAGAATTGGAACTGGGCTTTATGGCTGTCTTATGTTCTTATGGTCCACTGGAAGCAAACTTCATCCACCATATCCACATCTGTCGGTACGTTCCCAGGCTTGTTACATGGGGGATGATATTTCTGAGTATTTCCAGCCCTTGCGTGCTGGAACTTTCTATGAGTTTTATCACTGAATTTTCTATTTGTCTTTTCCTCATAGCATCTTTTCTTGATTGAGCTATTTACCCAGAGATAGGTTCTGCATAATTCAGGCAGAAATACCAGCATTAGAGCACTCTGTTAAGTACTTAAGCACTTTGTAAGTCAGAGATGCCAGTTTAGACTTAGGCTTCTGCCCAAGCAGTCCCTTGCTGCAGCAGGACTTCATGAGCAGCTGTGTCTCAAGCAGTTCATTGCATTTCTTCCATAGCAAGGACACATTCACCAGATTCACTGCAGACCTTTCAACTTTTGTCCTTTGGCAAACCCTTATTTGCTTACTGAGTGAAGTCCCATTTTCCTGGCAGAGAAAATATTCCACTGGCATTATATCCAACAAGTTAAACTTTTCTATCTCATCTCATTACGTGAAATTACCTTGTCTCCCGATGCAAGTGGTAAGAATTATTATCCATAGCCTTCACACAGTGCAAAATGTTGTGAAAAGTAGCGGTTTTCAGCAAGCCTTTCAGCAGGTGAGACATGCATTTCACAGCTTCTTCTTAAATTGTTTGTTAGAGCCTGATCCGAAGCCCATTAAAGGAAACATTCCCATTGCGGTCAGAAGCGCAGTGCTGTAATTTGAAAGACAAATGGAAGAGGACAAAGTGAAGCCCCTCTGAACCCACCCACAGCATAAAGTCATGTCTTGGAGGAAGTTTATGGCAACTTTGCAATACATGGCAATGGGGTCAGTGTTTCACAGAGCTTTTTCCCTTGTATTCAAAATGCATCACGTTGATTTTCTGCTGTGCTTCGCTTTCTCATCCCTCTCTTGACACAGAGCTCGGTACATCTGTAAATTACTTTTTTCTTTGTTTTGCTTTAATTCCCTTCTCTGCCAGCCAATTACTCCAGATTCCATTCTGCCTTTACATAAATTCTGCCCAAGCATCATATGTACTACTATCTCTCTAATTGTCTTCAGGTAACGTGACCTCTGCCAGGTTTCACACTGCTCTGAAGCTTTTATTAGCTCCTGGCTCATCTCTGCCAAGCTCTGTTTTGATCCATTGAAAGAACCATTCTACCTCAACTCGCCCGGTCGTGGAAGTATTGTTTCAGAACAACAATTCTACAGATCAAACACTGCCTTGTCAGCACTTGAGTACCAACCCCTGGTAGTGGGTAAACCACAAAGCTGTGAATTATTCAGATCACAGCTCCTAACAAAGAATACACAAAAAGAAATCTGAGCCAGACATCACTAAACTTCGGTGGAAAAGCCATAACCAGCAATCCGTAGAGGACTCAGCACAGAGCCTGTGCTTTCAAAGTTTCTTCCTTTATTATTCTGCATTTCTACAGACAGTTTTTCCCAGATATTTACAGTAGAAGATTTTGGGGACTGGCATTGTCTTCTTTTCCTCATTCCCACTTTTAGATTCCAGTTTGTGCCTAATGCTTTTACATACAGCTGCAGTTAAAATAACAGGACATCAGCATTTGGAGGTGAGACAGACACTACACTGGCTCATTATAGCTTATACACTAGGTATCCAATCTGTGAACATTTGCTGATCACCTCTGAGTACCTGTTGGTTCTATATGATAAAGCCACCAACCAGTGCACCACGGAGATGCACTCCTAGCCCCTGGTTTGATGCACAGCATAGTGATGCCAGTGGAAAGGTTGAATTCTTTCTTGCTTATTCATCCATATCTGAAAATGTTATTTGGTTGAGTCATCGTTATATTGAAGAGTGTACTTCATTGCTCTTCTCCAATTTAATATGGATATATGATAGATTATTAAACCCCAACTTATTTTCTCATCATATTCCAAATTGCAGGCGAGCAACCACTGCAGTACTGGTGATTATTGCCAAGGTAACAAAGATTTTTCATTCCAATCTGAATCCTTTTTCCTCTCAGCTCCTCTCCCCATCGCCCCTCATCAGGTGGGCACTACATCACCTCTGTTCAGCCCCCGCACTGCATCCCTGGCACAATGCAGGATGGGTTGGCCCCATTGCTCCAAGACAGGTTCTGAAACCCACATCTGGCACTTCTTCAGCTGAGGCTGAAAACAGGTAATGGGAAGAAGAACAAGGCCTGATGTGTGTAATGCATATAGCTACAAGCATGTAAATACAAGAGAGGAATACAGAAAGGTGCTGTGATGGTTTTTGTGATTTAACAGCTATGATAGTACTGCCAGCTTCAACTACTGCTCTTGTTATTGTTCGTTTCCTTTAATAATTCATTGCATCATCCAATCTTATGTTGTCAGTAATAAATATTAAATACCCAAGTTGTGATGCATGAATTAGATATTTTCTTTTTATAAAAGAATTCTTGTGTTAGATTTAAATGTCAATTAAAAGGGGAATATAAAAGAATAATGCAGTGCTTCTGTGAGCACTGGAATGAATGAAACATCTTTTCCTGGGGATTTATGACTTGCGTCTGGATTCTGTCAGATCCAGCAAAGTGTGATGTCTGAGTGCAGCTCATCCCTGTGCAGTGCAGATTCTCTGATGCCTACTAAGGAGTGTGCACACACAGGGGCCTTACTAGCAGGAAAGGCTGTGCACTGAAGCCCTGACCCCCTTTTCATGAGATTCAAGGATCTTTCAGCCCACTGTCCTTCTGAACTCAAAAAATTATCAACAACTTCAACATCTACCAGGAGCAATAGCTGGATGGAAGAACTGACATCGAATTAAGAAAATCTTATGGAATAATGTCATTCTGACCTAAAGCTCATTGCCTAACAATTCCATTTCTGTATATTCACAAAAGAAATCCCTGAGCTGTGAATTGTTGTCCCCATATGTGACAGGAAGAGGTCCCAGGCCTAATGTGAGAGCCTACCTACAGAAAACTACCTACAGAAAATTCATGCTGAGCACTGCACTGGCATGCATCCGAAAGGCATCTCATTGACATGAAGAGGCATGTAAACAAGCTTAAAAATTAATTTTGTCCTCAAAACTCAGGAGTGGTTCTGAAATTACTATTAAATGCAATTTACCCAATCCTCTGCAAACTTATGTGAACAATGTAGTGACTAACAAGGTGATTTGAGGGCCCTGGGAGAGAACAGTGTATTTGATTTGGCTCCTTGGCTTGTGAGATGGCATTTCAGCATCTCAGCTACTCTGCTAATGTCTTTTAATAATCCTGACAAAATTGCACAGGCATCTGGCCTCAGACATAACATTAGTATAGCATCTCAGCATTGGGATCTGGAAAAACAGCCCCCCATGGTAAAATACAGGACAATTAGATAAAAAGTTGGGTCTTCCTTCTTTCTCTTGAGACTCCTAATTTTACTACAAGTGATCTGGATAAGTTAATGGTCAATTCCAGTATGTCAATATAACATCCTCAATATAGAAATCAATAACGAGCAGAGGTGAAAATTAGTTGCATATCCAGCTTGCTGTAAAAGAGAAAAGAAACATAATGGAAGCATTTAAATATTAAAAGAAGCATTGCATTTTTATTGCAGTTCCTGTAACAGAAGCCTTTTTTTTATTATTATTCTTTTATTGCTTGTTTATTTGTTTGTTTTCCCAGGGCCCTCTTACTGGAGGATGGCAGTCTCAGGCTCTACAACATCACCAAATCAGATGCTGGGGTGTACACTTGTATAGCAACAAATCAGTTTGGAGTTGCCAGAAATTCAGGGAACCTGATTGTGAAAGGTACTTTAGTATATTCCTTTGTGCTTTATGAACAGTAGAAAGTGTGGGGTTTTGTTTTGTTTTGTTTCTGCTGGGATGCTCAAGACTATGCCAATCACTGTTGCTATCGGGAAGTTTTTCCTTGCAGTTTACAGCTGAAAATGAGCGACGTCACCTGTAGCAAAGAAACCTCATGACCACAGCAGACTGATGATCAGTGTGATTATCAGAGAGGTCTCTCAAGATGCCATCTGAAATGCACATTAGTATTGATATTTGCACTGCAGTACCATTTAGAAGTTGCAGGCATTGGGCAGCCTGAGGTTAGCACAATACAGGACCAATATGATGTCCCCGCTGCATGCATTTATTCTGCTCTCATTTAATTTCTGTCACATCTGAGGCTGCAGAAGAGACTATAAAATGGGTGTAAAATGAAATAAGGCATTAGGAATTAATCTGAATATTAGGTGCTTTTATTTCCTTCATCATGACACAGATATGTTGCTGCATTTGTTGCATCCATGCAGATCCTGAAGCCACCCACTCAGCTGCTGGGTGCTACTTTGGCACCCTTACAAAGAGAGCATCTCTTTGAGGTTCTCAGTATGGGCAATTATAAGAGGCTGGGGCTGCTGGTGTGACTTCACACCCTGGCTGTGCTCCCAAGGCAGTGCTGCTCCAAACAGGTTACCTCCCTGCAGCAGTTTCCACCCTCCTTTGAAACACAGATAAATGCATTGCGGAAGACATTAAAGTCTATTACATCCAGCAGCCTTTTGCTTCAAGTTTTTGCAGCACTGATGGATGGTCCATCTCCATTAGTAAAAAGTGCTAGTACCAACTTATCTCTCAGGTGGGCCAGTCCAGAGCTGAAGGACATAAAAAGAGATATTGTTTGTGTAGCTGTTCCTGTGAGCAGCATGTGTAATGACTGTGCTCTGTATCCTCTGATGTCTGATCAATGAGGGGAAGAAAAGAGGAAAACTAAGGCAAATGGTGTCTTTTCTTTCTCTTTTTTCCTGCATGATCTTTTCAGTACCCATGTTTTCTTATGCAAGTATTCATATTTGTTGATTTTAAATGGGAAAGAAAAGTTAAAGTGTGGAACTTGTGAGATTATAGTAAACATATTTCAGTTTTGCAAAAGAGCTAACATTAACAATGATTGCAGTTACAAGGAGAGCACATTATTACATGCAGTTTGTAGCTGCCTTTTTTCTTAATATTTTCATTTTCAATGAATTCAGAATATTTACTCTAGCCTGCAGAACGTCCTTCTTCCTAACCTACTGCAGTTGTCTAAAACTGTTTTCATACTATGAAAGAGCAATTAGCATTGATGCAGTGCAATGTGTCATCTGAGCTGATGTCACAGCACAACTAGCACTGAATACACCGAGAACTTTAGGGTTTAGGTGGCTCTGATTTCATTGAAGTTAGACACCATTACAGCTACCCCATGTATACATCCTAATGGAGCAATATGAAAAAATCCCATTAAAAAAAAAAAAAAAAAGAAAGAAAAAAATATTTTGTTTGGAATTTAGGAAGTTTATTAAAACACTGAGTAACAACATGTTATAAAACTGATCTTGTTTGCAGGGAACATTTGTTTTTGTTTCCCCTCTGGAGAAGTTTTGGTTGTTCAATTATAGGCCTCGTTGCTTCAGCATTATTTTCAACTGAAATGTCAGAACTTGGAAAAGCATATCTAATGTGCAAATTAAGTTTATTGCTGCTCATTGAGTTGTTTATTCTTTGTGTGAGAAATCTTTATTATACCTCAAGCACTCACACCATCTTGGCTGTTTTCTCCTTTGGAATGGGTCTTGCCATTTAATACTCATCTGAAGTTGCTAAACAAGATAGATGGATAATGTAGAGCCATGAGCCTGTAAGAAGCTTTTCAAAGTATTTGAGGTGGTCGTCTTAAAGACAGCTCCATAAAGGAAGCAGAAAATAACACACAAGTGAACAACTCTGCATCAGCAAAGCTACTGGTTATGAGCAGGCTAGAACAGAAGACACATCAGGATGGTAATCTCATAACAAAATAGGTTTGGGTTTTTTTTGCTAGCGCTCCTAAAAAGCTCTTAAAAAGGAGGAATTCAATAGGTCTTAACATGATCTCTGGGATTTTCAATTCATCTAATACTGTTTCATAACAGGATTGTATTTATCTCATTTCAGATCTCTTGGAAGTAAAATCAAATGGCACAAGAAATAATATTACTGACCTTATGAGGCAATCAGAATAATTTTGGAACTTTCTGATTAAAAAAAATTTCAGAAAGTTCCCACCCAGCAAACTGATGGCCCCTTCCTATATTACAGTCAGTTGGCTCTGGAGGAGTCTTAAACATTTTACTGCATGGAGCACCATTTTCTATTTGTATTCTGTGGATTTCAGAACATAACTGTTGAATCTGATTATAAATTCTATGCAATCCTGTTGCTATCATTCTTGCTTAGTTTTGCTCCAACTTTTCTATAGAAATAAAATTGATTTCATTTGTAGTGTTTTACTTATTTATAGACTGCTGTAATTGTACACAGTGCATAGCAGAAGAGTTAAAATGCACCAATTTTGGTGACCAGCCATCCAATGCAGAGAAGTAGGAGTTACAAATTGAGGTAGTGTTAACTCTTCTGGCAACAGAGGTGAGATGGGGCTTGTGAAGGGCAGGTATTTTAAAGAGGAGTTTGAAGGATAGGGAGTATTTGACATGGAAAATTCAATAGTGGTGCAAAGCTTGATTAAAGCTTAATGGAGCAAAGCAAACAAAGTGAATTTCATCCCTGGAGTAGGTGCTGTGGTTTGGAGCTTTGCTGTGGTAACAATTCAGGGGTACCTCCAGGCTGCCACTAATGCAATGCAGACCAGGCATACTCATGTCAGCTTTAAGCAGGACAGATAAAACACCAGCAGCAGTTCATACCAGTCAGCAGAGAACTCATCTGGGACCTGGGAGTCTCCCTGAGCAGCCTGGGAACCTGAAGCCTATAACAACCATTCAGTCTTATCCAGATATTAACGTTTCTTTACTTCCTTGCTTATTTGCCTTCAGCAGCTCAGTGTAAAGATGCACAGAGTTAGGCTTAAAGATGGAGAGATGGCCTTGGAGGATGAAATGATGGGCTTGGGGGCCACCTTAGGCCAGATCATGCTTCTCCATCTGCAGGTGGCAAAGGACAGTTCCATTTATCACAAAACCAGCTTTCCTGTTTTTATCTTATACCAAGGAATTCTTTCTTTCTTTCTTTCTTTCTTTCTTTCTTTCTTTCTTTCTTTC